AATCATATAAGTCTGAACTCTACCAGGCGAGTCTACTTTTTCATTTTAGCAAACCTTCTACAATCAAAACGAATACGCAGATTAAAACCAAGTTCGACGTTGAGTTGCGCTAAAGTTGCAGTGTATTGTACTCAGCACAGGGGTTCGTTTCGATTGGAGATGAATGAAATAGTCATTAAGATTTTATTTTTATTTTATAACCGTCGTTGAACAGCCGACCCAAGTTCATGGGTTTACGACTACTTACGTTCAACTCCGTAGCCTTGTAATTTTGAACCAATCCAGAAGACAAGGAAACTCCTGGATCAGTACCCCCAGAGGTATTGATTTGTTGTGGGAACATGGAGGACTTTGAGACTCGACAGATTTAACGTGCATCAGTCACCATTTACTACACGGGGAGTCTTCGGCCGGCGAGGATCGAACCCACGACCTCTTGGATATGGGCCCAGCGCCCTACCGACCAGGCTATCCCGGCAGTCATTAAGATTTAAAAAATTTATTGGTGGAAACTTTTAAAAGATACAGCTATTTCTAGCACTCAATTTCAGCTCTAATAACATCGTAATAAAACAACGCGCATGATTTACGGCCTCAGACTGTTCAATGTGCTAACTTAGGTCAGAACACTACTACAATCACAAGCAAATTACTACTACTCTACTCTGCGAGGCATTCTCCTATTTATATGGGCTTGGCAATGAAAACCAGAAGTTTTCGACATGATTCTAGACGACTCTATGATATCATAAATATTGGTATATCGCAGAATGATCATTTTGTCTCCAAAAGAGTCGGAAAGTATCGCCAAGGTTATCGCCAAGTTGATAAAAATGCCGCCTAACAGAATTTGACATAAGAAATACATTTAAGGTGTTATTTTCTCTCTAGATTACGTAACAATTTCACTACTTTCTTGCAGATTTTCCAGTAAAACTGCTCATTTAGTTTGCGTCTGAGATATTTAGCCTCAAAATAAAGAGCATCCATAAAAATTATACACATATTTTCAAATTCGTGACAGTATTTTAATAACTAACTGTATTGTTCTAATGAGTAATTGTACTGTTTTAATGATTTCAAGCGTGAAAACAACTTTTTTCTGGTGTTGATTTGTGTTTAGTTGTAAACTTTGGAGTTTGCACAATAACAGAAACTTGTTATTTTGCCTTTTAGCTGAAATTTATAAAAAATATATTTGTACCGGTTTTGAGCACTAATCATTTTTTTAAGTAAAACCCTGTAAATGTCCATAAACTTTTGTTAGTTTTACTCTTACCTAACATTTATAACTGAATTCATCACTAATTTAGATTTCGATAGAAATAATCTTAATCCTCATTTTTATTAATGCAAAATGCATTATTAATGCAAAGAAACAAGAAAGTAAAACATATTTTCCATACTTCAATAAAATATATGTTAGGTCTAAAAATTTACGACTTTATTCTCACGTTATTTGTATTCCGTACATTTCAGGAACTGCCGCTGTTTTATAGATTTCAATCATTATACTTTAGAAAGAAAAGCATTTCGTTGTAACTACAATCGTTTGTTATGATTCAATCTTCATGTATGAGAATTTATTGCATTCACGAATCAGCTATAAGCAATAAAAATAGGGAAACTTTTTCTCAATCTTCTTTCACATCATTTATTTATAATTGCATCTAAACATTCGTTGTTAGTAATGTTTATTCCTTTCATTTTTTATTAAATCGTATTTCAGTTTTATCAGATGTAAATAGAAATGATAAACTATAAAATGGAATGTTTTCATACATATTTTATTTGGTTTCATAAAACTTATGGCATAAATAGACGTTTATTTGAGAATAGGATGAGAAATTTTATTAATATAATATATATTAATTAAACGCTTAGCTTTTATTAGTTCTATAAAGTGTTTCTTTTTAAATTTTTGCACTTAGAAAAGGAAAAAAATAAAATCCACTGTCTAGTAAATAAGAAATTAATTTACTATAATTGAATATATACATAAAATAAATTTTAAAAATAAGAGTTTTCTCTTATTTGTAATATATTGAAACTAAAAAAAATATTTTTAACTTATAATTTGCATACTTAAAATAACACTGCGAAACAATTTCTTTTCCGCAAATAATTGATATTGCCCAATTCGGATGTGGATATTGCAAATCTGCAATTATTTTTGCTCCTAAAGCTACGGATAGCTACGGATTGTTTTTTAAATGACATTTTTAATCTATTTTTTTTTCGAAATGAAAAAGTTTAAAAACATTATATATAACAGGGGACTTTGATTGACCATCTCTACTGGCCCTGCGTGGCCATGTCGATTTTGTTTGCGTCTTTAGCTCATCTTATAAATGGTCAATCATATGCTTTGTATTGTAGAGACACCACAATTGTCGACAAATTTGGGGATGATCTTGTGCAGGTTGGTTTTAACTTTTGAGCCACGGTTTGTTTTAAATATAAGGGTCTGTTGACCTTATCTTAAGTTATAAAGTAATAATGGTCTGTTCACCTATTTTTAACCATAAAGTCATCATAAGGGTCTGTTGACCTATTTTTAACCATAAAGTCATCATAAGGGCCTGTTGGACCAAATAACTTTTACTTTTAATTCCATAATGGCTCAATTTTAGCAGATGTCATTGATGTTATACCTTTTTTGTGTTGTTACTTGTGATGTTGTACTTTTTCAGTCGGGCTGTTGCCACTGACATCTGTGATTTTAAAATAATTGTTGTTGATATAATTTCTGGTGTTTTATGTATGTTTAATATATGTTTCTTGTATCTACTCTCGTATGCTCTTAAATAGGGCAGGTCGAGATACAAATAAACAATATACAACAGGGGACTAGGAGAGATTTAAAATTTAGATTAGGAGAGATTTAGATTTCTAGGGACGCTTCCCTATCGTGGCCTGTTTAGAAGAGCAGTAAGAAAGAGTTCATAATACGTAAGCACCCCTAGATAACATTTACATGATAACATTTCTCATCCTCCGCTTGCATGCAGTTTTAATCCTTATAATAAGCCCCAACTTTGCTAGAAGTTTATCTCAACTTTTATGTGACCTCCTGTTATATGTAACATGTTGTATGTTTCGACAAAAAGTAGACTTCGAATATCTTTTAAGAGAAAAACTTTAGCTTGGAGTGAGAAACTGATTTTAGGTTTGAAACTAGTGGTACAAAAGTATCTCAGATTTGTTAAATTTGATTCAGAAATATATAAAAAAAAAACTTCCCCAGTGTCCATTGTTTTTTAAAGAAAATTTTTGTGTGGTAAAAAAAATCACTACCAAGTCATCCAGGTTGTTGGTCCAGCGCCTCAGGTAAACGCTTCACAATTTCTGGACTACCAGCACGAAGGTGATAATTTTATAAGCATTGCGCATTGGCAAATAAGTCATTACGCATCGTTCTGTTGCAGGGTAGAATTTAAGCTACCACCGGGGATATCCCCAGTGGTGGTCCATTCAAATAATTTGATGCAGTAACCTCTGTACTATCTCGTTTGCTATGATAGTCTTGTTAAAATTTGTGCAATCTTAATTTAAAGCAGAAGATTTAAGAAAGAACAGTCACGGAAATTTCACAAGCAAATAAATTGTAAGTATATTATGCATAAAACGCCCGGTGGGTGGATGAGTGGTAGCTTTTCTCGCTGTCGTGACACAGGTCCTTGGTTCAATCCTCGGGTCGGGCAAGGTTTACTGAGCTTTTCATTTCTTCAGTGTTCGATAAAATGAGTACCAAGCATGCTTGGGAACTATACAATGGGGGTTCCGCGTTGGGCTGGCCACCCAACCAGAACATCTGCTCTTGCAGACGATGGACCAAAGGTCAAGATAACTGAAATGAGCACAGTAGGCATTGGCCCTCTATGGGCAGTCGTGTTTATAGTTCTTTTTTTCAATATGTACAAATGTTTGTGTATTAACATGGTATTGCGCAATATTAAAAAATATAGTCCAATGAATAACATTTGAAACCCTCATGAGGATCGAAACTTTTGCATTATTGCGCTAATGAATAAAATAAAATTCATTTATTTTTCTAACAACATTTTTCCAAACTGCTAACACATTAACTTTTCAAATTTCAATTAATTTAACTACATTTTTAGTAGTAAGTGTCTGTTTTCAAATCATCTTAATTTTAAAACTGTTAAGTTTCAATCAACATAATTAAAAAATCTATGTGTAATGATTAATACCTTGGTATACACATGATGTTAAAAATTTTCAAAAATTGGAGAAAATTTACAAAAGGTAGTTAGCTTCGAGTTTGAAAAACGCAGCTAAGTAAAGTGTGCCATTGTAACAAATTAATAGTTATATGATTTTTTAACACAGTGACTTTAAATTTTAAAACTAATCAACGCAAATTATTTTAGTAATAATGATAGACGAGACAGCATACAGACATTCTTATTGATTCTTGTTACAAAAAAACTGGGGAATGGTTAGTGACAAATTACAACAAAAGGACTTGCAAAAGGAGACAAATGATAGCTTTTAACTTCAATATCACCTCTAGACATATAAGATAAAAAATACAAAAAAATACTAATAGAAAAAAGTAAGTGTTAAAAATAAGACAGAAATAAAGTTTTTGGAAGTATCTGGATTACGTCTTATTAATTATAATAATACAAATTATTTTTTTTACATTGAGAATATATAAACTATAATTTAAAAACAAAATCGATCTATGTTTTTTTCTCTTTTTTGTAGAATGCAATTACTTAAAACTTTTTTCTTAACAATGTTTTGTAGTAATGGTTTATCAGCATAAATGCATACAATTGGATATATTGCAGCTAAATTTAATCTTAAGATCTAACAACATTTAAAAAAAATCAAAATCATCTTTGTATGCTTGAATTTTAAATAGATTTAAAAATGATAAGTATTAAAACTATTTTTTCCGTTAAATTAGCAATTTTCCTAAAATTGAACAAAACCCTGTTTAAAAATAAAGTAATTAAATCAAAACTTACCTATCCACACTTATCGCAACTAGATTGAATATGGACGCAGTACTACAAGTAACATCTAGTGCAATGTAGAAATCGCATAGAGTATTACTTAATTCCCAATCACCATTAACCTAGAAAAAAAAAAGGTTATATTACTTTGATTCAGATCTTTTTGTCATATTAAAGCAAATCTGCACTTTTATTTGTTTCAACCCTTAGCACGTTAATTTAATATTTAACTAATATGAATTTGCGACATAATAGATATCGCATAGAGTATTACTTAACTCCCAATTACCTTTAATCTAGAAGAAAAAGGTTACAATACTTTGTCGGTGCAGCAATACCGTGTGTCCACTTTTCTAATTCAAATCTGCACTTGCATTTGCTTTCATAGCGTGTTAACGTATTATTTAATTAAACTTAAACGAGTCTTAACTTTGAAAAAAGTAGGATTTTAAATCTTAGTAGGAGTTCTGTGAGTTCACTTTGTTGTTTCAATTAATCCGATTCTGAATGTGAATTTATTTAGAAGAAAATAACACTTTAAATTCCTTGCTACAATGGTGAGAGTTAATTTTGTGCCGAATTAATCGCAATCTACTAGTAGCTTTGGTGGTGCTTCATTTACGTCGAACTAAAGCTGCACAATGAGCTTTTGAAAACTAATGTTGTAAATTAAATTAACAGCGCTGCGCATTGTCTTTTTTGACTATTTATCTCAGATTAGAGTGTGAATTTATTTTGAAAATGTTGCGCTTTTAATCCTAGAAGCAAAGTTGCTCGTTTACGTTGTCGATTAATACAGATTTACAATGAATGATGAATTTACAATGAAAAAGTAACATTTTGAATTGCATTTGCAATATTAAGTATTAACTTTGTATCGTTATAAGAAGGAATACAAGCATTTTTTATCAGATGTTTCGTGAAGACCACTCTTAATGTACAATTTTGGAATTCTTTTCAAAAATGAAAACGGAAAATTAGGTATTTGGGGCGTCAAACTAATATTCAGCCGAGGAATAAGCAGAAATACTTTCGAAATCTGATAAACTGTACAATCAGGCTGAAAAAGTAATAAATAGATAGGTTTGATTGCGAGAAACAGCAATGCGTCGAAAACAATTATTAAAAACACGCTAAATAAATCCATTTTTAAGTTCATTTCATGTGCCTACCTTCTATGTAATTGGTGAGATATCGATAAAGATTTTCCTTTTTTTTAGTCAATTATAACTTGATGGCTGAGTGGTAGTGCAGCGCGCTTTCGTGCTGCAGGTGCTTGGTTCGATCCTCCAGCTGAGCAAGGCTGACTCAGCCTTTCATCCTTTCAGTGGGTCGATAAAATGAGTACCAAGCATGTTTGGGAAGTAAGCATCGAATGTTCCACAGTACCGGAACATCTGTTCTTGCACCCCAGACCCCAAGGTCAAGAAAACTGAGATGGGCACAGTAGGTCTTGGTCCTCTATGAGCAGACGTTAGTTTAGTACAGTTTGAGTGTCCCAATAGGTATAATTCCTGCTCTTAATTTTTTATTATAATTCTAAAAACAAATACTAAGTGTGGTCTTTATGGGATATCCTGTTTAGTTTCATATTTTCTATATTTTGCTTTAATAAAAAGATACACTGACAAGAAACCCAAGGGGTATAATCTAGAGGACACTTAGTAAATTATTACGGAAAAATTGACTAAGAAACAAAATCTAAGATCTTAAAAATTTCTCTCTAATTAATTATTCTCCTTAAATACAACAAGTTAACTTGAGAAGGAAATGTTAATGTTTTTTTCTCCGCAAAAAGATGTTATTCATTAAAAGTAACTACAAAACAATAGAAGCCCACACAATATCCACTTTATATTTCAAACCAGTAATCAGCTTTACGGTGCCACCATTAAACACTCTCTTTAAACAAACATCGTTTTCCATCTAGTATGATTTTCATTCCACCAACATCAAAAAGATTTCAGAGATGTTTTTTTTTTCTTCTTCTTCTTTATTCTAATGCAAATGGTGACTTTTAATGAAGTGGCCTGTATAATCTTTTAAACCTCTTTAAAGAACTTATTTTTAAAGACTTTAATTAGATTACAGGAATCTAGCTGGAAGTTTTAAGCATTTTTTATGAGTCCAATCTAACTTTTACTGGGACTTCGTAAAATAAACTCTAGAAAAGATTACTGTTTTGGTGGAGCGATACTTTATACAGTGTATTTTTTTTTTTTTTTTACAATCTCTTGATAAGATCTCTTTCAAAAGTACTTCCTCTGTCATCATTACTTTCTTAAAACTGTCTTCAAATAGTATCTAAATGTTGTATCTTAGGCACGACTCACTTACAGAATGGTATTTAATCTTTTATATCGACCTTTTTAGGAATGGATTTTTCTCGGAAGCAAACAAAAAGACAACATGAGATTTCGTATTTAATCTTGTTTATACTTATTATTTGTTTCGTTTTATCAAGAAATCAGAACATAGGGTACTCAACCCAGAACTCGAAAACAGAACAGTGAGTTTATTAGATTGAACGCTGGCTACTTAAAGAAAAAGCTGATTACTCGAATCGAAGTCACGTGTAAACTTTATTTGTTAAATTAGACTTTCTGAAGATTGCTTGTTGTTTATTCGCTTTGGTGTAAACTACTTTAATTCAGATATTGTTTTAAGCGTTTTTTACAAATATTTTAAAAATACCTCTTTTATAAATACATTGTAATATTGAAATAATCTTGTTTCATTTGTAGGTTTTAAAATGATTTTCAAATCAAAATTGCGTTTTTCTTGCGTTAAATGCTGACTAATTAAAAAAAGAAGCTGTTTACTCGAATCGAAGTCACGTGTAAACTTTATTTGTTAAATTAGGCATAGGGATAAGTATTGTTTATTCTTTTTAGAGTAGACTACTTTAACTTAAATACAATTTTTAAACGTTTTCTTACTAAGACTCCACTATTAACTCTTTTTTGATTATGTGCTGTAATATAATAATCATATTTTATGGGCATGTTTAATATTTGTCTCTTGTAAAGATGATTTTCAAATTAAAAATTTGCTAAATAATTGCCCCGAAGTATGTGAATTAGGTTCAAGTAATACCATATGGAGAAGGTTGGTTGATTGAAGATGATGATGTATTTCCAATTGTTCGCTTTTCCAATTAAGAGTGATATAGACAAGCAGTTATATTATTTAAACAAGACCCACAGAACATGCACCTTTCATCGCGAAATCAAAAATGCAAGTGATATGTATACGTTAGAAGTGTTCGCCAAGGAAAATTCATGGATTGATAACATAGATAGACTGCTCACGTTCCCGTACCTAAGATTAAAGCAACTAAGCATTCCTCGCGCTTATTTTAGATGCTGCGTAACTTGGCATGATTTACTCTGCAAAGGCAAAACTACAATCACGCTGTTTATAGCTGTTAAATGTTGCTTCCTGTTTAAACCTACCTTCCATCTAAAAACATGAACATGGAATGTCAATTTGAAGAAATGTATTGATAAAATTAGGATATGAATCGTGTGATTTTATGACAATTGGTTCATTCAATAAGGAAATAATCTAATTGCACTAGTTCCATAAGAAACTAGATACATGTTAGCTATTTTAAAATTATAAATTATTACCCATTGGCAAAATGGGTCATGCTTTGGATTCGATGGCGAGTACACACTTTTCAACTGAGTTCAAGATTAATAGTAAACAGTGCGCATGCGTTGTCATTGCATGCGTTGCTATGGTGACCGCTGCTGTTTTTCGTCTTATTTTCATCAGCAGGCATTTTTAATGTATTTACATAATAATAATTTTTATATTTTTATTATTATTAACGTATAATTACTGGTTTGTCAGTGATTTCAATATAAATATGAATGCTGACGAGGGAAAAGTATTTTATGACGTCTTGAGACACGTACATAGGCAAGATTTGAAAACCAATCCGACGACAAACATCCATTGAGACAGTTTTTGCAACCCATGATTTGAAATGCTGTGACGTTTAACGGAGTCAATTCAGAAAGAAAAAAGCAATTGACCAATGGGTAACCCAGTGATAGTAATAAGGCGATCACAACTTTTATTTCATTTTGATTTAAGATGCTATTTTTTTAAAAAAAATTTTAACTATGCAACTTAGTTAAAAGAATTTAAATAATCAATTGAAGTTCAATAATATTTTTTCAAATATCATTAACAATAATAATAATAAAAATAAGCAGCATTCTTTATCGCTGATTTCATCAAAATCTATAATCTACCAAATTTCTCTGCGCACAGTTCCGCAGTTTTACGCAAAGCTGTGGATTTAACTCACAAAGAAGAGTATGCTAAAAATCATGAAGTACTCAAATAAACTGGAACACATTTATTATTACTTTCAATGGTCAACTTAAATCTAAAATTCTAATTGAATATACAAATATATATATCGGATCATCATACAATCGGCCAAAGACTCAAAAGATGAGTTGGCGGCTCATCCCTCTCCACCGGCATGAAAGAAGAAATTGTTCGTTCTTTTATAGATAACGATTTCGTACGTCACATTGATTGAATGCTTGTTTCTTGAATTCCCTTTACTTCCATCCTGGAAACGAATCTGAAAAAAAAAAAAACTCAAACACTAAAGTTTATAACTGGAAACTACTTATTTCCACAAAAGCAAGCATCTTGAATCGCATGCCTCAGCTTTAAAGACATTGTCAACGTCCATTATAGATGTTCGTTTTGATTTTGTGGTTATAGTTAGTCCACTACTTTAGTGTTTTAACTAACGGATTTTTGCAAAATCTTTTGCTGTCATGGATTTTGCAAAATTTCATATTTCATAAGTAAATTTGATATTTTTATCCTGAGTGCATGTGCATTTCACCAGAACTGACACATGCGCAACTCTAGTGAGCAATGCGCAATTACTTGAAATTTTACTTACTGGAGCGTACTTAAGTAAACGTAATTTTGCAAATTCCCCCTATTATTTCGATACCTATCATTAATGTTGAAACAATACTGAGGATATCATCAATCTTTTATGACAAAAATCAAATTTAATTTAAGCATTTCAAACAAAAAAAATGTGTTAATGGTAACAAAAAATACATTTTGTAAATTTGTC